AAGTGAATCTTCTAAAAGTCAGGACATGAAAGTAACTTAGCAAACTTAGTTGCACAAACTTTGCTTTTTAGTTTGTTTTCCTTGCATCCCTTTGCAGCCTTTGTTGTTGTAGGGAAATCTGAGGCTTTTGCACCTGAGGGCTGCCCAGTACAAGTGACATCTTTAAATGCTCTTCTCTGCACCAGCTGAGGTTCACTGCCTTGGTCAAGGGCACCTGAAAAGCAGGAGAAGTTGTTACTCCCCCAGCAGCAGTGACTGCAAGATGTTAGAAACCTGCTCCCAGTCCCAACCAGAGATCCGATTACTTCCGAGTAACGAGTAAAATAAGGAATTACTATTGCAAAAAAAGTAATTGGATTACTGTTACTTTCCCATAAGCACGCTGCGTTACTGCGTTACTAAACCGTGATTTTGTTTGCAAGAGTGTCTCATGACAATGACGTAAGTGAGTGCGACGTTCGTGGCAACAGCTGTGTGCAGATCAAAAATGGATAATATATCGATATATCGAGTGCGGGAGAGAGCATGAGCGTGCAGCGTTTAAAGCGTGGAAGTACTGACCTTACTTTGAGTTTGATTCCGTAAAAAGTGACAAAAACATTAGCGTCCGCTGTTCACTGCGTGGGAAGAAAACTTATTTTACAGCGAAAAACCCCTAAAGCACCGAGTACGCTGCCACAGGAATGTGAGATTCACAGAGAAACTCCTGGATCCTTCCACTGACAAAAGTTAAAGATCAGAGATCATCTCTGAATTGCGATGTTTTGTGCAAATGTATTTCAACCTAACATAACTCTGTCTTTTAAAGATAATTTTGGTTCTGATTCAGCAATATTTCCCACTTCTTGTGGGGTTTTGAATCACTTCTACTGTTTAGGTCAGTAACAGCATGCCAGGTTTGGATAGGATCTGAACAAATCATAAATTTGTTTTTGACCATAAGTCTTATTTTTATCATAATGCAGCATGGCCACATTGCTCGCTAAAGCTACAGTAAATAATAAAGACAAATAATTAACAACATCACTAGTTGATGTGCTGCAGATAAAATCTGGACTGGTTAGGGAATGGAAAATAACAAGAAACTTTAATAAATAACTTACTGATAACATCACTGTGTGGAGTAATGGGAGAGTCCAAAACAGTGATAAAATCTATGCATGAAATCCAAGCTAACAGTAGCAAATGGGAGAATAAAACTAAGGAGAACAGAAACATGAGGAAGATACGACAAACTGTCAAAGACTGAGGGAGAAAATGGCATCTAAATACAGACAAAGGTGGAAAATGTGGCAGGACGGCAGTGCATTGGTTAGCACTGTTGCCTCACAAGCTGGTGGGTTTCAATGCACCATCTGACCTGGACCTCTTTGTGCATATTCTCCCTAAACCTGCATAGCTTCTTTCTGGGTACCCACAGTCAAAAAACAATGCAGTCAACTGATGATTCCTAACAGACAATAAGTGTGAATGTGAGTGCAAATGGTTGTCTGTCTTTCTGTGTTGGTCCTGCAACAAACTGGTGACCTGTCCTGGTCATACCCTTCCCCTTGCCCTATGGCAGCTGGGAAAGAAACAATAAGCTCTGGACAAAGATGAACACAAAAGGTACAGAATTGAAACTCAATACAAACCCAAATGTAATAAAATTCAGGATGCCGCATAGATTAAATAACAGATTAAAAGACCATGACACAGGTTTCATTTAATGTCTTAGCATTCACTAGTTTACCAGTGACCTGTCTACAGCAAGAGTTATGTTTTGTGTCAAGCACATTAGAGTTAATTAAAGTTTCACACATCATAGCACTAGTCTTTAAACAGGAGTGTTTAAAAGCTTTTTAACTCCAGACAGGTAAAAAACATTCTATATAAAGGACTCAACATTAACCAGATACTAATCCTAACTCTAGATGGCTCACATGAAGAAAATGTTGATTTTGTGATCGGTATCCACTGCATGCATATGCTAAAGAGTGTGTGCAGTGTTGATCAATATTATAATATTAATAGCTTTGAAAAAAATACCAAACAACAGAGAGTGTACACATTTCTGGACTGTTTAAAGATGTGTTGATTTTTTCTTATGCTGCTTTAGGTGATCGGGGAAATCCTTTATTACGTTTCCTGATTTGAATGATTCCCATACTAAATGAAATTCACAATGACTAAATCTTACATGTAATAGCAGGTATGCGGGTGTTTTATAAGGATGCTCAAGTGTGTGTGAGAGCTGGATAGAGGGGTGTGGTGTGTGAAGGACACAGTGCTGATTGATCCTGACAGTTTTATGAGCCTTTGTGACTACTGAACAAACAGAGGGGTAATGGTAGATAATGATATTTACTTAAGTACATTCTGTGAAAGTATATGCATTCATACGCTGTATGTATATACACATGTGTGTGTATGTGAGACTGAGGTCCCATAAGGGACATCTATTATCAGCAACAGACACTCACTGTAGTCTGAGGAGTGACAGCATAGCGCACACATGTGCTTTAAGATAGTGTGCAAACTAAGTGGAAATAGTACCCACGTGCACTAAAACAGCTAAACAGCTGGACTGTGTTGACCAGCAGATAGGATGGCACATACACCCCCCCCCACACACACACACACAAACACACACACACGCACACACATACACAGAGCAAGTAATATAGTGGCCATAAAGTACTTGAGCAAAGGCTAGGGTGACTTCTGGGGTGGAGAGCTGAGTTCATTAGGTTCAAGGAACAGTGTGAAGCAAGTATGTCAAACATCAGTCCATCAGGGGCTAGAACTGACCTGCCAAATCACTCTAATTCAACCCACTGGATGTCTTTGGAAGATGTGAAGATGAGCAAAGATATTGGACTTTTAACTGTAGCTTCATAAGTTTTTGAGCTTCTCCTACTGATAGAGACAGCACACTGATAGCTACACCAAAGTAACTAAGCAAGAAATGAACAATTAAAACTGACAGAAAAAAATTACAGAAAGGTTCATGTTCCTTCACTTATATATATGTATATATATATATAAACCTACTTAAAATGTAGTCCCAAAGAGTCCATATGCTGACAGATTTCTTCCATGACCATTTCTTCATTATGCAGACAAACAGTTGAAATCTACTTATTTTTCTTATATTCAATGTGTTGTTAAACTTGTTACTGACAGAAAGAGGATTTTCACTGGTCTGGCCCACTGGCCCAGATCAAAGTGGGTTATATGTGGCCCACGATGTAAATGAGTTTGGCATCGATGGTGTAAGCCTTGTATGTTAAGAAAATCAGATCAGACACTCGCTCACTCTGTTGGGGGAACTGAGCGTATGGACTTGTTACAAATGGCTTTTAATGGAAGAGTTTTGACCATTTTTTAAATAGGAGATTCAAAAAGATACAACAGTAATTGCTTGATGACGAGTTTGCAACTAAAACATAGCTGTAGGGTGGGGTGGGGGTAATTACATACACATACATGCATGCATACTTGAGATAACTTGACACACACACACACACACACACACAGTGGAGATAAGCAACAAGTGCCATTATACTTTCATTTTTTTATTAATTGTTTTTTGATAAAGGGACAAAATGGGTGTGTGAACAGGATTATGCAGACATCTGCCAGAAAACACAGACAGTGGTTTTCCCAATACAACTGAACAGAGACCCCAAACAAGTACAACAGAAATTAAAGAGCTCCAATGACCATCGGCCACCATTACAAAAAAAACAAATTTAAATTTAAAAAATTAAAATTATAACATAACCAAAAAAAGTAAGAAACCAAAAAAAACAAAAAGAATCCATTCCATGTCTCTGTTTTAAACAGAGCATATAGGTAATAATAAATAGTAACTCCCATAGTAAAAGATAAAGTTCAAGTTCAAGTTACAACAAACAGCTCTCAGAACAGGAATAGAAAAGGCTGATAACAAAATATTCCGCATTGCCATTTACAAAAAAGTCTCAACTCAAGCAGGCTTCTCCACGTCCCCCGGGTCATTTTTAAATATGCTTTGCATATGAAAGTATACCCAATCTAAATATAAAGCACCATTTAGTATTTGGCAATGAAAAAAACTGCAAAACATTAAATTTGTTTTTCAACGTATTTATTTTGACGCTTTTTCGTAATCCATGTACTGCATATGAAGTTTTTTTTTCTTTTGTTTTTTTCCCCCCTAGCTTCTTGATGTTGGAATGTTGTCAGGTGGGAGGGGTGAGAGAGACAGAAGCACACAACAGAACAGGCCGACGTCAGCTTGCATTACTGCATACAAGAATGGCAGCGGGGGGGGGGGGACAAGGGAAGGAGGTCTGAACCAAAAAGCAAACATATGTACAACCACCTCTGTGGACAGGAAACAGCAGCGGCCATCTGATGGCCCCACGACGCCTCCCAATGCCACATATTTTAGCTGCTTTTTATGTTTTTTTTCTTTTATTTCTTTAAACATACAAATAATTCGCACTATATTATCCTGCCAAATTAAAAAAATATACCGTGGCAGCTTGGGATTTTTTTTCCACTACCAAAAGAAGGTATGGTAAATACCTTTAGAGAGAACAAGCAACAGTTAAAAATACGAGCCTCAATATAAATACTATAGTGCCTACTCTAAGTGAACATTGAATTCAAATACAATTCTAGAAATACAGAAAAAGTAGACCATAAATGTGTTTAAGCATAGGAATCGACATGAGTGTGCATTTTCCTATATTTTAAGTTCTTTATTATATATTCATATATAATTTTAATCCTTTCCCCAATGTATTTCAACCTGAAGAGCTGTGAAGAGCCAAGGCAAAACAAAATACGGAAAAAAAAAATCACAGAGTTTGTTTTTTTTTTGTTTTGTTTTTTGTTTGTTTGTTTTTCATCTTTTTTTTGTATCATTTCATATATACTGTGATCGGAGTCTTGAACACCACCAAGACGCTGAGGAAAAGAGAAACGACAATTAAACTTAAATACATCTTCCCCTAAGAGAGCGTGAAGTGTTATTTGAAAACAAAAGTTTATTTTCATATCTATAATTAAAGGAAGATTTATACAAAAAACAGATTCTTGCAGTGTGGGCAACACAACTTGGAGTGTCAGTTGACAAGCCAGTAAGGTCTATAGATTATTCAGGTACAGACGACAACAACAACTCCTTTAAAATAAAGAAGAAAGAAAAAAAGTGGATGTTACAGTGGCCAGCAGGAATGAAAACTGTGTCCATTTGACGGCCGTGTAGGAGCATCGGTTTCTCGCTGTGAACCTTTGAATTTACAGATCTTGCTGACAACAATGAAATATCAGCCCAGGCTAAATGTTGGGGATTCCAGGGGTAACAATTTGACAAATGGTCAAAGGTGAAATGGCAAGGGTACAGAGGTCATGAGGGTGGAGTTACAACATATTATGTGTCTTATCTTTTACTGTTCAGAACAATGGGACCCTCATTGTCTGACAGCATTTCAGTGAGGTTTTCGTCCCCTTTGACGTAAACTTGTAAACAGGAAAAAAAGGAAACAGTGCACTTTATGTCCTATAAATGACAATCTAGCTTTTAGACTCAACCTGCATTGGTGTGGCACAATGCACGAGAGACGTCAGTACGTACCCCAGGTGGAGTGACAAGTGAAAACTGTGAACGGCTTGAATGAAACAACAACAACAAAAGAAAATCTGCCTTTGGGTTAAAAAGCAACAGCAAACAAACAAAAATGCTCTGCATTAGCCTATACACACTGATTAAAATGATCTCATTCTGATTTTTTTGAAAGAGCCCTAGAGTACAGATAGATTTTTTTGCAATTCTCTATTTTTTTCTCTGCAATAATACTTATGACCCTGTTTTGATACTGGAAATGTAAAGTGAAAGACATTGCCTCTAATCCCCGTAATATGTAGCTTCCAGTTCTGTGTAGCTTTCTGTCTGTCTAGCTTGTAGTTATTTCAATGCTCTCAAATAAAGTTAGCCTCATTTGGAGCTCATATATTACTTTATGCATTGTTCCACACACTGACGTATTGAAGCAGCGTTGTAGGTTTGTGCTAACGCAGATACATGACACTTCTCAGCCATGCGTTGTATCCCTCAAATTCAGGATTGTACACTACAGGTTACCTTTGTTTTAAAAGTACCTCCTCACCAAAAAACAAAACTACAAATAATTCAGATATACACAATACTGCTTGTACCATGCTTGCCATGAAATCCACATATTAAAGATAGCCTATTGAACATGTAATAGGTAGCTAAATGATGATTAAAGAGAACTCGCTGATCTTTCATCATGAATCATCACAGTCCATTTGAGCAGTCAGGTGCTTGATGCAAGGACCTTCGCTGGGTGGCTTATGTGACCCCAAACTTATGCCAGATAAGGTTATGGCCGATGCAGTCTAAAGATATCAAAGGCACTCTTTCTTATTCTACCGAATGATAGTACAAATTGAATTCTAGCACACCCTTGTCTTTTTTAAAGAAATTTCAAGGCCCACTTACAGTTTAGTCCTCAAGCCAATGCATGTTGGGTTTTTTTAAACCCTGTCTGAACATGGTATCTTTTAGAAAGATCAGGATAAGTGCATTTCCAGGGTTGTAAGAAATGGATCAAGTCAAAGAATGTTCACTTTCCATGTTACAAAACAGAACTGTACATGATATGTGTTACAGAATGTATGCAGCATGGATGTATCTTTCTTGTCTTTTCTCTTTTTGAAGAATAAAAAGAAAAAAACTGAACAAGAGAAAAACAGCAACACATTTACTCAACAACTAACCAACCAGGGACAAGTTCTTTTCTTTTTTTTTTTTCTTTGATTAGCAAAAACATACTATGCATGCTGACTAATTCTTAAAAATGGAAAAGGAAAACTCATAAAAGAAAATAGTACACAACATGTAAATTATTGCACAAGAGAAAGGCTCGAAGTTTTGCGTCAATGCAAGAGTATTGCCCCGATACAGATCATGCATTCAATGAGTAATGGAAACAGGGTGTGCTGGTGCAAAGCACATGGTCTTAAACTTCTGCCAGATTGGCAAAAGTGGTGTGTTGGGATTGGGGCAAATCTACAAGGGGCAGGGAATAAACCGGGGACTGATGGTGGACATAACTGCGGGGAAAAGGTCCCATTGTTCGGCCTTCTACTCTGACTTAATTTCGGTACTCAAAGGACGGTCACTGTGCCATTTTTTCATGTGTTTCTCCAAGGTGCTGTAGACACTGAAGGGCATCTGACAAATTTCACACTTGTACACGTCTTTGCCCACCTGACCATGGGTCTTCATGTGGCGAGTAAGTTTGGAGCTCTGGGCACATGCATAATTGCACAGCTCACACTTGTACGGTCTTTCCCCTGTGTGGCTGCGCCTGTGCACTGTCAGGTTACTGCAGTTCTTGAACACTTTGCCACAAAACTCACAAGTATCACTCCTGCGGCCGTCCTTGGAGCTGGGGCGCCCAGGACCACCGAGGTGTGGTGTGCTGCCCCCACTGCCTGTACCACTACGGCCTGACATCCCACCATCCAATTCCCCCGGAGGGGTTGAGAAACGCAGGCTGCCGTTCTCTGAAGAATGCTCCGATGAGGATGCAAAGGGCGATTGTCTGGAATCCCCAAAGTTCAGAAAAGGGTCCTTGAGTTGTCGGGAGGCAGCATAGCCAGCCAGCCACTGAGAGTAGACATTCTCAGTGTTAGGGATTGTAGAAGTGGGCAGGTCAAACTCCTTTTCCAGCTTGATACGTTTAGAGAAAGGACTGAGTGGACTGGGACTACCTAGAAGCAGTTTCTTGGAGAGGCCGACGGAGGCGGATTCATTAGGTGATGCTCCTCGACCGTTGACCGTTGAGACTGAGCCCTCCTCCCCACGATCGGTTTCCAGCACTGAGTCTCCATCGCATATCTCACGATTGTGGTGATGGTCTCGGTTGAGGTGGTGGTGCAGGTGGTTCTCTTGGGCCATGGCATTTCGTTTGTGTGCATTTAGGGCTTCACTGAAGTGCTGCATGCTCGCAGCAAGACCCATTCCCTGCATCACCTCAGGCAGCGAACGAGGGATCGAGCCCTCATCGGCCACTCCTCCCAGTCGACTTCCGATGCTGCCGTTGTTTTCATGCTGACGTGCCGTTTCAAGGTTCAAGCCAAAGTGATAGCTGTTATTGTTTCGTCTTGCTACCCTCTCTCCATTCTGCTCTTCCTCCTCCTCCCCCTCCTCTTCCTCCTCCTCTTCTTCTTCCTCCTCCTCCTCTTCTTCCTCCTCCTCCTCTTCCTCCTCCTCCTCCTCTCCATTTTCACGTAGCATACGGTCATTCTCACTTTTCAGCTTGGCCACCACTGACTTGAGGGCATTGCTTGCGCTGCCCACATGCTCACTAGTTCCAGGCTCCGGGGATGAGGCTGTAGAAAGCCCGTCTTCTGACTTGCCTGTATTTGGTGAGGACGATTTATGCATGTGTGTCTTCATGTGGCGTTTCAGTTTGCTAGCCTGTGTGCACGCATGATCACATAAGTGGCATTTGTACGGCTTCTCTCCTGTGTGGCTACGCCGGTGCACGATGAGATTACTCTGAAACTTGAAGGCCTTGCCACAAAATTCACAACACTTTGATTTCAACTGGGTGGTAGAGGAGGGTGTAGCCCCTGCTGAGGGGAGAGGGGTAGTGGGCGTGGTCTGAGAGCCCACAGGTGACTGCATGGAACCTGGAAGAGGCGGTGGAGTAGCAAGATATGGAGGTTTGCTGCCCCCTGCACCTCCTGTGCCTCCACTTCCTCCTCCTGTCTGGAATGGCTGGAGTAAGCGTTGCATGGGGCTTGGCCGGCTTGGGGACAGCGGGGGAGTGGACCCTGAGGTGTTGCCCGCCAGTTCCCGAAGCCGCCTTGAGAAGTCCATTGTTGGAGGGGGATCTAGAGGCAGAGGAGGATTGAGGCGCAGCACCCTGTCAAAGGCACTCGGGTGGTGGGCTGCCAGCGCCAGCTCCTCTGGGCTCAGGTGGTGGGGGTCCAGGTGGTTCCTTGGAGGGGGGCTGAAGAGGGGTGGTGTTGGGGGGAAACGCTGATGATGGCCACCACCAACAGCGCCAGTGCCAATGCCACCTCCTGCTCCAACACTGTCCCTTCCACCTGAGCCCGAGCCAGGGATGCGCAGGAGGTTGAAGGGGCTTGCATCAGGAGGCAGATGAAGGCCATGAAGTGGAGGCTGAGAAGGGCAGTCTGCGCCTCCGCCAAGGGAGGAAGGGCCACCCATGCGTGGGGTCAGAGGACTGCCATGTTCACTTTCCAGGTAGATACGGAAGCCGTGGGTGTTCTGAGCATGCTGCAGCAAGAACCAGGCGCTGCCATAAGACTGCTTACATGTAGTGCAGGTATAAGTGGTAGGCTCCTCCTTACCTGTTGTGACAAAGAAAAAAGAATGGGGGTTAGAAGAAATGATCAGTGACCTTCAACATGATGCAGACTTTGTTACATCTGAAACAGTTAATGTTATTGTACAGAAGCTGAATTCTTTTAAACATTTAATGCATTTCAAATGCTGCTCATTTAGTGTCATTTGACTCATTTTCATTGAAACAGCTGTACATGAACAGTGCTATATACGGAACGAAACACATGAAGAGCAACTTTGTTCTCAGCTGAACCAGTCTTTAAACCTAAGGCCTAACTGTTACAGCTTTTAAAAGTGGTCGGCACATGGTGTTGAGGGCTTTGCAAATACAACAGTAGCTTTTATTGAGGTCATGCCCCACATGAGTAGCATGTGAGAAGTGTGTGTGTCTCTCTCTTTTTCTCCCAGACTGCTTTGGGACATAATTTCTCCCTTTAGACTGACTGTGAGTCCTCCATTGTCAGCAGGAGAACAAAGAAACGGGGCTATCCCAGCGGACGACCACTTCCCACTGATCTACCAAAACAGAGGCTCACTGACAAACACACACACTCCCGAACACACAGGAGAGACAACACAGAAGAATCCTCCAAACTTGTAATTTACTACTTCCTTATTTCTCCAGCAACAACCTAAATACATTAACCACCTGATTCACTAGGTCATTGGAAACCTGTCTGGGGTTACAATTAAGAGTAGATCCATCCTGTTTCATAGATTTCTTTTACCTGCCAGGCGGTGTACTGCAATGACAAAATATGTGACTTCATTCAAAATGTAACATGTTCTCCCTTCTGAAAATTTGCCTATCACACATACGGTTAAAGCAAAATTCAACCGTCACTCATGGCAGGCTCTGGCAACCTGGAGGTTGAAGCCATGAGTAGTCAGGAATGCTTTTCTATTTTTATCTCAAATGTATGCAAGTTCATTGACATAAACTGTATTTTAGAGTCATATGTACTGCCCACACTCAAATGTGCATGCACACCCTTATTCACACAAACACAACAGAGCAGCTCAATCGCCCAAGGATGGTATAACAGTAGGAGTGCGAAAACATTTAGGCTCCAACTGGAGAGGAAAAATAACCCCTTCAGTCTGCTTCAAAGCATCTTCTGTCAGTGAAGCATGTAGAGTCACTTTGAGACAGCAACAAGAGGAACATCTAAAACAATAATTGCCTTTGAATGGCCCTGGTGACGATGACCTGTGGCAGGACCCGCAATGCATGTGTAATCTCATTAGGGCACTGATGGACGGCCATCAGCTCGTTTACAAGATTAGATGATAAACAAACCCCGCCATCACTGCCATTCAGAGTGCCTTCCACTATTAAGCACTGTGCAGCAAGGGTACATTAAACAAAGTGAACATGCAGATATGCACATTTTATACATTAACGAGTTTATGTATGATCAAAAGCCCAAAGCAAAAGAGAAAATATTCAGGTAGACAGTAGACAGCTAGTGTGAGGTCAGTCTGGAATTTTAATTTACACTAAAACAGAAACTAGCTATAGCATAATAGCTCTATATGTGACTGTACTGAATGACTAACACCATAGCTTTGTCCCTTTCACTACCAACAATCGTAAAATATCTCATTTAATGCATAAAATGCTTGAGCTGTCTTCAGTGTGTGGGTAGAAATAGAGTTATTTATGGAATAACAACAACTGCAATGAAAAAAAAAGTCCAAAAGTTGTAACACATAATAAGCTGAAACAGGCAATATTATTTCAAAAGCAAATGGGTGTCATTCTCGGGGTCGTAATATTGATGCTAATTATCTCAGATGATTTTTTGGTTAAAAGCTATTTTGTTGAATCGTGTCGTGGACAATAAATTACAAAACACCCCATTAATATGTAAACAGGTTAGGTGGGTTGTAAAAATACACACTAAATTGGGACGTATCACCTGCTAATTACTGGCAGAACAAATACGGCAAATTAACAGTGATACTAAAAGGATGTCATGGTTTAGCGGAAGCTTTTAGACGTCGGCACACTGCAATTTACCTCTAATAGCCAGAAAGAGAAAGTCAAAGAGGTTTTAGGGATGGAAAAAATACTTCAACAAATACATGCAAAGAGAAAATCTCTGTGTACGAGTGTGTGTTTAAATGAGATCTAATTTTACTGACAGTACAGAGCTTACAGACAGCGATTTAAATTGACAAAAGAAATGTTTTTATTCACATAAACGACAATGAATTGCGACAGAATAGCTTGTCGTCATAAGGAAGACATGATTGAGTTAAAGTGCGTGTGCGCGGGGGTCTGTCTGTCTGTGCATTTCAGCATCTGGTCGAAAGATTCGCCTTCATTTCCCTTCCCTTTTCCTCTCCCGGCTTCTCTTTCTGTACACACACACACACTTATCCCATATGACCAACCATTTGCAAAAGCAGCCAAATTATGGATCATTAAAATCGGTACAAATTACCACTAATTGTAGGCACCTGCAAAGGATCTAACCTGTGAATATCATTTGCATTATCAGGACCAGGGAGGATTCATTTATTTATTCATGTTTTTTCCCTTTGGTTGATCTGCTCTGGTCTTGGACACTGACAATAAAACTGCACTTTTTCTACCTGGACATTATTTGGCCTTCCCCTTATTGACTAGACAGTAATTTCAATTAAAGGTGAATCTATTTTTTGTTTTGTTTTTTTCCCCTGCCTGCCACAACTTTGGAAAACAATTTAAAATAATACTCTAATAGCCCAGAACTAGGGTGAGAGTTGAGGTCCTTTTAGCTTAGAGCCAATAGGTTTAAAGGCATCTGACATCATCTGTCATCGTCCCCAGTTGGTTACCCCTCCCTCAGCCTGGTTCTGCTACAGGGTTCTTCCTGTTAAAAAGGAGTTTTTCCTTCCCACTGTTGTTGTTAGATCGCTGGGTTTTTTCTCTATTATTGTAGGGTCTTTACTTTACAATATAAATCTCCTTGTGGTGACTGTTAATTTCAATTTAATAGAATCTGTAATAGAATCCTCTAAACACTTGGTTTCCGACAAAAGCTGACTTAAAGAGATGGGGAAGGTGCCTAAAACTGCTTGTTTCATTCAGTGGTTGAACAGAGGATGTACCGAGGCTCAGTACAAAGCTACTCGAAGAATCTAAGCATAAGAATGTGGAGAATAATAGGTCCCCTTCAAGCAGTTACAGTTTCAAGCAGTAATTCTGAATACAATCATCAAGGTGCCGGTCTGACATCTCTATTTTCATACACACAAAATGAATGAGTCCAACAGAACAGAAAAAAGGTACAATGTGTACTGAGTTAGCACAGTGTGAGCAAGTTTAAGAACAAAAGCTGCCCTGTATCTCCCTGAAAAATGTCACTCTATTACAGACTTTTCAGGCAGAATAGTATCTGAGGCATGTTTTGCAGCAGTCAAAATACGACTATTAGTAGGAAGGAAGTCTAATATTTGTCTTACTTGCTGTGTAAAAAACAGAAACGCTTGTTATATAAAACTTAAATGGAGCTTCTCATGAGTTCCAAAATGTGCATATGATTTAGTCCAGTGGGACTGGGAACCCTACAAATAGATGCAAATCAAATCTGACAAAATAGGAAATATGTTTCTCATAAGGAATAACCTTCATGCCTTTGCTTCTGACAAAAATGCCTCTTTGGCTAAAGCGGTCACATGTGCAGATCATTTCATTTGTGCAGACGCTCACAATAAGCTTTGTTTTAAGACATCTTGTGGCAAAATGCTTGGGAATCACTGGTTTATCACCTTCTTTGAGAAAAGTTTCTCTCTATATGTGTGGTTCTGCTCAAACTGATACTCCTACAACACTATACAGAAATCTTTTTCTGAGGAATGCGGTGAATGTGCACTTAGTGTAAATCTTCAACTATGTCATTAAATCATGAGTATCTGCATATTCATAATTTTTGATTCATTCTGTGTCCCCGGGAAAGTACTGTCATTTGATTATTAAAAAAAAGACTTGTATAAAATGTTGACATTACAAACTGTCTGAAAACAAAAGAAAAAAAATGTTTCTCTCTCTGTATAAAGATGTGTGTAAAGTATTAAGTAAAACAAGTAAAAGGCACAATAGTGTAACTCTTAAGCTAATATGCGCCTTTTTGACTCGTAGCTCAGACTTGTCTGCATGCTGATTGAAACTGTAAGGTTAATGGATTTTAGAGTAGGCGACCGCTCCACTCTGTCTCCCTGTAATATACTCCCATCAGCCACTTCATTAGGCAAACTCTCCACCACTCCAAGGTAGAAAAATGAAGTGAGAAAGTGGAATGGAGACGGTGGAATGAAGACAGATCGAGCCAGAGAAAGAGAAAGAAAGAAGATGCAATAGAAGTAATCTCTGTGGTTTAAGTTTAGATAGAGGTGACAAATACCTCGCACAACTTTAAAGTTTGGCTGCACGTGTGCACCAGGTATATGGAAGGAGACGGGTGGGCAGATGGGGGAAATAATAACATCCGCTTCTTTACCGAGGGTAAATGTCAGAGCCGTGTGCCTGCTAGTGAGACTCCAGAGGACACACACACAGTTTCAGAAATGTCCTAGCACTCAATACCAGCCATGCTACAGTGACAAGCGCAGGCATTAAGCCTTATTAAGCCAAGGGCATTGCCTGGACACTTATGTGGTGCTAGATGGGAGAGGGAGGCAGTAAGACAGCTTGGCTCATGTTTCACAACTCCTTTGTGTGTGAGAGAGAGAGAAGGACAGAGTGCAGCAAGTTCCCCTGGCTCTACCCATCCCTCTCAACAACGAAGTGTAACACTCTGAGCCAATGGCTGTGCAAGGGGCTGAAGTAAAGCGTACAGTGACAAAACGGATAGATTGAGACCAAAATACACCAGAGCATCATATGTGGTTCAGGATTATTGAAATTGTTCTCCCAAGTCTTGGCATTCAGAAGGTGAAAAATAATTATTCTAACAGACACATCAAAAAAAAAAAATTGAACGCATTGCTTGGTGGTCAGGGTTAGGGTCAGGGTGCT